CTGCTCGTCTTTAAAAAAAAATTAAAATGTCCCGGGGGCTCCATGTAAAGTACCTCTAAATATTAAAGAAAGTGCTTCAATGCTCCGAGACTCGTCTCGAGCCAGATGGTAATTCAATTTGGAAGGAATCCAACGCACGGTTCACGCCTAGTAGTGCTCACTGACGGCGGCGGCGGGGCGCTTCTTAAAAAACAAAACTTTTTTTTTAGTATCAGATGTATTCAAACTGTTTTTAGTGGAAAACTCGAAATCAACTTTCTGCAGCTAACACAACTTTCTCTATACTACGTATATTACTCCGTGTATAAGTATGATTTTGAGAAAATAACTAGTGGTGCCCAGAATGCCACAGGCATTCTTATATTAGTTTTTTTATTATCTTGGTGCGAGGAGCTATTTGGATCTCTTGCCAGATGCCATCTATCGCACACGAAGTTCTTTTTGTCGATTCGTATCGGGTTTGTAATGGTAGAACCGATATATTACTTAAAGCACATTATGGAAGAGTAAAACCTCGTCCTATATGGATATTTCCGTTGAAAATTGGAGTCTGTTCTAAGAAAACTGCATTCGGGGCCCGAAGTGAGGCACTCTCGACTGCGCGTCTCGAGGCAGAAGCCGAAGAAAGGCGTTGGGAGCTACAGGAGCAGAGACCTTCCCTCGCAGCGGGGAACGTTGCTAGAACGGGTCTACCCACGAGCAGTCACCGATCACACTCACAGGGCCACTGAGGCAGACAGAAGAGCGACAGAAGAATTAGGCGACACGAGAGGAAAAGCGGCCGCCAGGGCCTCGCCCGACCCCCCTCGACGGGGAAAGAGAGCTATCTGGAACAGCGTTTCGCAACTGATTTGGGTATTAACAATTTAGTCAAGTGTATGATAACTGATGGATATTGTCATGTGGTGATAACTGTTAAATAATTCTAATTTAATTTGTATAGTAATAAAATTTTAAAAAATAATAATAATTATTTTTTATTATTCATTTTAAAAACTCTTTTTGGAGCAACGTCAAAGAAATTTCGAACATTAAATACTTGTGATGTAAGCAAGAAGTTCCTTCTCTGCTGTATTGCCATCTGTGTGGCCAGGATTCCGTAATTTGAGTTGTTGTTCGATTGAAAGCATCCGAAAAGCTTCTCAAAACAAAGATACTATCAATTTAAAAGAAAAAAGTTGCTTTTAACTCACCGTGGGGCTAGCAACCGTGTTCCACCAGGAGGGGTGTCTTCCTCGCTTCTTGAAAGTACTCTCTGCAAAATAAAAACAATTAGTCAACTTGATCACTGCTTTGCATTACAATCTATACAATAAATATAATGGCGTAAAAAGTTACAAACTAGTGCTGCTATAAAATGCCATTTTGGTGATTCCAAATGGCACAGACTCTTTCTACTAGGTGGTTTCTTAATTTCTTTTGGTCTGGTTCAGACTTACCATTTTGCCCATCTCAATGCTGTAGCAATCTAAGGTACATAGTTTCCAAGTTTTTCGCATTTTTTCCGTATTCAACAGTATATCCGAAATATTACTTTAAGAATATTGAAGAAGAGTAAAACCTCGTCCTATATGAAATTTTGGAGCCTTTTTTAAGAACATGTCGAAGCGTTATTTTAATTAGAAATTTGAAGCTCATTTTCACAGAAATCTTTTAACTTTTCAATAAACATATTTTGAAGCCATTTGAAGTACTCTTAATCGCAAATACAGGAATGCATTAAAATGCTGGAAATGTGCATATGAACAATATTAAAATATTTAAAAAAATTGAATTAGTGTATTTTTTGTAACCGCAAAAATACAGCAAAATGAATTCTATGTCATCTTAACCAGTGCAATTTCCCCTATCCATACAAGAGCCAATCCACGTTAATTGCACACACACACAAAACAACTATTTTGTAGCGAGTTGAAACGGTTTTTTGATTATAGTAGGTTGAAAGTAGGTGACACGATTTCTTTTAATCCCACTCCTTTCAGAAATATTACCAATTATATTTTCCAAAAAATCATGTGTGCGCCAAAGTTTAAAATTTCTTGCGCAAATGCCGTGCCTTCAGAAAAATAAAAATCGCTAAATTTAACCCAAAAACTTGTACTTCTGCCAATACATCTGACAAAATTTCAAAGTGGGACAGACATAAGTAATATTTTTTAAAACAGTAGCGTAGACAGCCCGCTCGCAGCCGGCTCGTTGCTCGAACGTCGATGACAGGACGCATCATGGCGTCCAACGCACAGCAACGCGAGACTTCGTCGTGTTATGAATCGCAGAAACACACATACGGTTCAAATGGAAGTCTTCTGACGAAACGCGACTTTAAGTTTATTTAAAAACTACTGACACGTTAGGGTATGCAGAAGAAGTATATGTGCGATTATTAATCCGCATTCTTAAGAAGTTAGAAATTGACAGGACGCTGCCAAAAAAACTTTGTGTATTGAGAAAAACTAGTTTTAAAAATTCCTTCTCTGACGTATCAAGTGAAGTTCTTCAAGAAAGTGAGAATCGACCATACTCGTCAATGCCGCAGATATGTTGCGCAGTGCCAATGACGAATAAACGTGCAAATCTGGCCCTGGTTACCCTAACGTATCACTTGATACAAGTAATAAAGAAATGGCGAGAAAGTTCGTCTTCTGTTCCTTCTGCAATGATTCATAAAAAAAAAAACAGTGGGAAGGGCACCCCAGAAAAATCAGTTCATTTCTTTTTCGGTGGATTTTTAATTTAATCTTCTTGTAACAAAAGTAAAATACACTTATATAGGTGGCATAGTTCCGATTTTAATGGTTAAGTTTCGGAAATTGCGAAAGTTTGAATTTTTTCGGTGTCTTTCTACAACTAAAAAATTAAAGATGGAGATTTTTCTTTCCAATGAAATGTGAAGCCAAAATTAGTTTTTTCATTAAGATCATGTATTTTTCAAAAACATTTAGCAGTTTTCGCGTAATGTTGCATGCAATTTGTGCAATTTTGAAAAATAAGAAAAAGGATTTACTCAAAAGCGGCTCCAATTTTTCTTTACTTTTTCGTAGGTATGTGCTAAATTAGATGATCCGTGGAAGGGAATGGGTGACCTGGGTGGTAAGGGGTCTGTGTATGCGCCATTTTGCTCTTCTTTTTTAGCAATATCTATTTAAGCGAAAATTTATTCATATTATTGTATTTAAAAGTAGGGTAGAACACTCAGTATGTGGACTTGAAAGGTAACCAATATGTTTTATGCAATGTATAATTGTTTATTTTAATAATAGCAAATTCATAGTTGGCAAATTTATTACTACATACAAGTACACTTATGAGGATAGTAATTTAAATACTTCAATTATACACTTCCTCTTTTATAAAATGTGAAAGTAAAATGATACATAAAATATAGAAATGGACACTTTTAAGACTATCGTGGGCACTTTGTAATATAGTGATGGGCACTAATAAAAATGGACTTTAAAAAGCCCAAGAAAGTCAATTAGCATTGTTGAACCAATTGGCTAGTTCATTAAGCTTCAGTCATTTAATACGTCTACACATTGTACAGAAACATTATATTTTATGGCGAGGGCGAGGGTGGCAGTGGCGGAAGTCGTAGTAATTTTTGTAGTTTAATATGACATGCATTTCACTCCCAACAATGCCGAGTGAGCTGTCGGGGCTTAGATCTTGTCCCCGTAGGGGCGGTGCCGCACTGGGGGGAGATACCTGGTTGTGAAAACCATCCTGTGGGGAAGATCACCGTCACCACCTGAGAAAAACACGTACTACACTTACGGCCTAATGCCCTTAGCTGTTGACACGCCTGGAATCACTAACCAATGAATCAAAGGGACGCGACACGAGATAAATAGATGAGTAAATTAAGTTTTGGTGAAAACCATTCTTATGGTTTAGTTTGTTTGCGTTGTTCAAGACGGACTTTCTGTTTAGCACTTATTTATGCTACTTATTTAAAGAGTTTGTTCAGGTGTCAGGCGCTTTGTCATTTGTTTCTTCCTTGTAATACGTAAAAATTCAGTTACTGTGTGCAGCATCCTAAAGTGAACTAAAGCTGTCATCTGTATTTTTGTATTTGTTTTGTAGTAATTCTGTATGAACAAAATTTGTAAAACTTGTTTGTAGCAATTTTCTGTATTATAAGTCCTATAAGTGTTTGTCAAAGGGCTTTTCCCTTTCAAATAAATGGTTACATGTCGTTTGAAATTCTTGGATTTGTTGAATTCAGTTTGACGGAATAGTTTTTAGCGCATCAACTCAAGTTCACCTTACTTGCTAACATTTCTCGCATACTAAATTTGCGGTTCTTTGAGGGTTTGCACGAGTCATGTAATGTATTTAATTCAATTTAATTTAATTGTCCTTACCTGACTGTTGTGGGATCAGGGTGGGAATTAATTAGTTTCCCGGAATATCCGCAGGTGGCGACCGTAAGAATTAAGTTTATTAATAAAAGTGGTCATCTTGATGCGACCTTAAAAAAAAGTGGCCATTATTTCCGCCAGATTCAACAAACTCTGACCACACAGAGCTGCCTGAAGTAATTTTCTACGTGTAGGAACACGAATTACCCAGTTTTTAGGTAGCAGGGACTGGCGATTAGCACTTTTCTGTTGAAAATTCGCAGCTTTTCCCGCAACATTACAATACTTTCTCTATACTGCAAAAGCAATAGGCAAGAAAGAAAAAAAATGAGTTGAAACGTGGCATCAACCGATGTTATTGCAGTGCATCTGATCGGGAGGTCCTAGGTTCGAATCCCGACCAGGAGAATTTTCGACACTAGCCAAGCAGCTGGGTCGACTTCAGTCGCTGTCTGGAGGACAATTCCAGCGGCCGGCTGACTGGCGAATTCCAGAGCAGAACCCCAACAAACGGGCCACTGACCTCGCCCCTCCCCAACCCTCACACGTACACGCACTGCCCTAACGCACGAGTCCGGTGGGGAGCTTAGAGCTTGATCTGGATGGGCGGCACCCCGCTGATGGGAGATACCTGGTTGGGGAAACGCTGCGCCGTAAACCGATGGTGAGTCGACACCGAATCTCACAATCCAGCGGTGGACGTTCACCGCCGCTTCTCAAGAAAAACACATGCACCGCACTTACGGGACTAATGATCTTATCAGTTCACGCTCCCAGAATCACGCCCCAATCATTTGAAATTAGCTAAAAGCAAATCTCTCAATCAGGATTTTAATTTGCTACCTTTAAAGTAATGCAGTCTCAATGCAAATATTCAGAGTTTATGTTGTGTCTTTCTGCTAATGAAGTGTGTCTGCAACAGGTGGAGAGTGAAGACCAGCCTTTGAGTGCGCGGAATTTCCAGTGCCCCGACTGCGAAAGAACGTTTGCCTGCCGTGTGGCGTTCAACGAGCACCGGTATATTCACGTGACGGGCCGCCACGAGTGCTACATCTGCCATGCGCGGTTCAGCAGGAGCAAGTACCTCGGCATGCACATGCACGTGCACCGGCTGGACGCGCCGCTGCGCTGCAAGGTGTGCAACGCCACGTTCGCGCGGAGGGCGCCGCTGCTCTTGCACCTGCTCGTGCACGACGAGGAGCGGCCCTTCCGGTGCGAGTTCTGCCAGCAGCGCTTCGCCGAGCACCGCCCCTGGGTGCACCACGTGCAAATGCACAGGCTGCGCGCGCACATGGACAACCAAAGCTACGCCGTCGCAACCGCCGCCGCCGCCGCCGCCGGTGCTCAGGCCGAGGCTGCAGCTCAAGGGCGGCCGTCCCCGACCTCCTAAGGCTTCGCAGGGCACTCGGGCTGCAGAGCTGACCCTCATCAATACTTATTCTGTCAGAGCAGCTGCCCAGAGAAATTCGCCTTCCTTGGCACCCATACTTGAGAATTAACCCATTTAAACATGTTTTTTTTAAATATTTTTTCTTCGTGTAAAATGTTTTTCTTTGTCTTATTTTATAAAGAAAACAAAATGTTATTTTATAGTTTTAATAGTTTTTTCCTGCTCCATGTATTGGATTGTCTTACTTTATAAATAAAAATTAGTAATATCTTATTATCCTTGTTTGTGTAATATATAGTTAATTGCACTCTTCCCTTCTTACAGTACAACGTCAACTGGGCTAGTAAATTTCTTAACATATTTTAAAACAATACAAGAGTTTTCATCAGAAGTGAACTTAAGAAATGCCCTAATTCATTTTTTTGATATTGCATTTTTCATAATTTATTTCAAATTAAATTTTTTTTCAGATTCTGCAGTTTATATATGTTAAATTTTATGTATTGATTAACAATCATTCAATTATAATATTAGTGAAAATTTAAACTTGAATTGCTAGTTTATTCTAATACTTTCATAATTTTCTAAAATTAATTTTTTAAGCACGGTTATATTCATTTTCTTATAAGCAGCTAGGAATGTATTGTATTTATTGAATTTAAAATAAGTGTATACCTGTGTCGGAAGCGTACTACGTGACTAACAAACAGCTCAAAACTGTCGAAGAAATGTTTTCTTGACTTGTGGGATCCCTGTCGTTAGTACGATAAATATTAAATTAAATTGTGTATAAATGTGGCAACAGGAATTCTTGACCTGAAAGTATTCGCTCTAATGTAAAGAAAAATGATTGTAAAAGCAATTCAGCTACAGAGTTTGGCTATAATCCCTTATTGTATCCTTGGGAAGAAGCGATTGGGAACATGGATTATTCAAATCACTATATTCCCCACTGAGCTTAAGACAATGTGCTAACCACCCACTGGGCTTACGATAGTGACGGCATACTTGCGTCCAAAAGCAAACGTCGCTATCTTCACAGTTTATCAAAGAATCAGCGAGACAGGGCGAAAACCCTGATCCAGATGGATGCCATGAACTCAGACGCTTGTTACAGTCAGATTTAATCGTAAAGAACTATTCAGTGCAATGGTGACGAATGCAATAAACGTCTTATGCAACAACTGTTAAAATGATTTTATTATGGTCAGTGTAGTCTCTAATTGTTGAGAAACAGTCTCACAGCGAAAATATTTTACTTTGGCTTCATCTTCTTTGTGTCATAAGGCAATATCTGTTCACACGCACATGATATTCTACGTGGATTACTTGTAGACAGGCTGTTGAGCCTGAATATTGAAAAAGCGCGGGTATCTACGAAGTGTGATGCCAATTAAAAATACGTTTTCATGCAGTTTTGACAAAATTACAGACTCTAAAATAAACGGTCCCGTTAACGGAAAGAGTTCGTAAGCCAGAGAAGCAGGCCAGCGGGAATTACGGGCGGGCATTGGCTGACTCGTGCAGATCTTTCCTGCTCTCTAAAAAACTGATACTGTAGGAGGTGACTCCCACGATATTCACCCCTTACGTCAGGCGAAACAGATACGACCGCGAAAACTTGCAACTACCTGCTAGTTTGGTTCAATTCATTCGATTCCATTGGAGGTATGGACTGAATTGCGAGTGAAGAAATTATGCTTACCTTGACATATCAATTGCTTAATGTTTTTTTCAAATAGTATTAAGTTTGCTGGATTAAATGTAAAGAATTCATGCGCTTTTCATTCGTTTACTTAATTTATTTGCTCAGATTTCAAAATCGTTATTTGCATGGATTTTAACCTGTTTCTTCTATTGCAAAGAATTTTCTTATCGTAGCCAAAGATAACTGTCCTTCCGTTTTAAAACGACGAGGACATATCGTTTACTGTAGAATGACGAAATTATGACCTAAAATTGAACGCGGGACACCTGTTTAATGGCAATGAATCAGAAAGGTTTACGAATATCTCTTCATTGCTGTTCAGCATTGGTCACTGTTGTTGGGATCGTTGTTTAATATACTAATTACCAGTTTTCAGGCAATATCACGAATTGATACGAAGGTATTTCACCTTCGTTGTAAATTACACAGTAAGGCGAACCTATATAGTGATAAAATGACGTAACAATGTTTTAAAATCTTGTTAAAAACTCCAAATAGGTGCTGTAATTTTTTTCCAATAACAATTTAAGAGAAGAGGAACTGGCTGTTCGCCAGATTTTGGATTTTCTCAATTCATTTCGCAAACTGAAAGCTTACTTCTGTATTCGACTGAGAAATGATTTATATCGTAATTAGGCAATTTTGATTTAATTTTTGTTGCATTTTTTGAATAGTTGGCTCAGTGAGAAAGTTGCTGTGAAGATATCTGTAAATATTTCTGTGCATGGAATACATTATAAAATTTGTGCATAATGGGTGTTTTACAAAGACTTTGAAGGATAATTCGGAATTTCATTAATAGGAAATATTTCTTTTACGTTTATTCTATAGTCTAAGAATTTCATATAAATATGTTCTGGGAACAAATATGTCGTTATGTTGGGAAAATGTCTGATGTGAATTGGGGTCTCTTAGACACATTCTGCGGGTCAACCGCACTGGGAAGTCAGCGTTTTCGCCCATTGGTAGTGGCCTGCAGCACTGAGAAATTTTATACCTCTTAACATTACGTAACACTGAATACCACTTGAAATGCATACACTGCAACTTTATAAGGGACAATTCTACAAGGAGCATTAAGAAGGCAACAAAAGCATTGGCCCCACTGCGACACAGCGGCAGTGGATGCGCTGCCTCGCTGTGCGTTGAGGGATGACGAGAGGAGCCTGGTTTCAGGAGGCGGAGGGGGCGCTGCTGCGGACGTGCACGGCGTGCGGCGGCGGCGCTTCCAGGCCTCACGCGGCCGAAGCAGGCCGAAGCAAGCCGAAGCAAAGCTGAAAGCGTGCGAGGATTTTCCCCAAACGACGAAGCCGCCTGTCGTTGGCGCGAGAAGAAGCTTTGGCATTTGAAAAGGCGTTTTTACAGCCCTGAACATTACAAATTTTTCTTAAATTCGCCTTCAAATTTTTCTTTAAACTTCTGGTAACAATACAGTATTATGCATTTATGAAGGTGACATAGGTCTGATTTTCAAGGTTCTCTGTTTTTAGAACATTTTAAAAGTTTGAAAATTTTCCGGCATTTTCTTTCAACTACAAGATTGAAAATAAAGATTTTGCACATTTTCATGCACATTGTTTACATTACCTTAAGGTCATGCACATTTTTTTTAATTTTTCGTTGTTTTCGAGCAATACTGCGTGCAATATGTGCTTTACTAAAAATTACAAAACCAAGATTTTCTCGAAAACGGCTCCAATTGTTTTCTTTAAACTTTTTATAGGATATTGTTAAATGTACCCTATAAGATGACCTAAAAGCCATATTTCTCTCTTCTTTTTTTTTAAAAAAATTACAAACACGCATTTTTTTGACTTGTTTCTTACACCGTTAGTGTTAACATTAACGGCGATTTGTTCACATTACTGTATTTATGAGCACATGTGCTTTAAATGATGCCATATAAAGTTTCTCAAAACAGAAAATGAAAATGAGCCGAAAATTCCGCATTATCAGAAACGCCATTTTCTCTTAAACGCTTCTAACTTTTTTTACAAACTTTTCCGACATAGTGCTTATTGATCTGTTTAAATGACATACTTTTTTGGGGTATTCTTTCGTTTCTTCAAAACGCATACAAATGTACTTTTTAAACTATCTCTCGCACCGTTAATTTGCACCTTTCCAGCAATTTGTAAATTCTACTTTATTGTAAGTCAAATGACTTAAAATTAAATTTTGGAAAACTCAAAATGTTTCTGTGAAAATGAGCATAAAATTTCGCATTTTCAATAACGCTTAAACGGCATTTTCTTAAAAATAGCTATATATTTTTCAATCAAAATTGCTGAATTCTCGGCTGTCCGGGAGACGCCGCGTCGTTGGCTGGGGTGCCGACGTTTCGCCCGACATTTCGCAGGCTTCCTCAGGGTAGTGACACTGCGGCGCTACGCGCCCGTTGATTTAAACTATCTATTAAACGGGCGCGTAGCGCCGCAGTGTCACTACCCTGAGGAAGCCTGCGAAATGTCGGGCGAAACGTCGGCACCCCAGCCAACGACGCGGCGTCTCCCGGACAGCCGAGAATTCATGAATTCGAGCCGCGGAAGCTTACGTACAAATCAAAATTGCTATTTAGAAAGAGGTTTTACTTCTTAATATTCTTAAAGTAATATTTTCCATCTACTATTAAGAAATCTAAAAAGTAAGAAAATGTCAAAAAATGTACCTTGTGCGTGAATAGACGGCAGCTGGCAAGAGGATGGGGCCAGGAAAATAGAAAGCATTACAACGAGAAGGTACGCAGCCACTGCTGCACTAGTTACTTCGTTTACGTCCATATATATGGAAAGTTATGTAATGTTGCGGAAAATGGATTTCGAGATTTCAACGGAAACACACGTTTTGAAGTCCCCTGATAACAAATATTTTTATTTTTAACGTCCGTCCGTGAACATGATGAAGTCGATTTGGCTCGACTCGAAGCGATTTTGAAAAACATTCTTTAAAGTTTGGGGGAACTTTACATGAAGCTCCATGGACATTTTCAAAATTTTCTCAAAAATGGCTCCAAATATTTTTATAAAATTTCTTGTAAGAATACAGTAAAATATATCTCTAAAGGTCGCATAGGTCCGATTTTCACTCTAACTCTGAATTTTGGAAAATTGTTAAGTTTGAAATTTATCATCCTCTTCTTACAACTACAAAATTGAAGATTCTGTAAATGAAATTGTTCTTCCATAATTAGTTCCTACGTTAAGGTCATGTTGTTGAAACTTTTAGTGTTTTTGCGCAATATTTCTTGCATTACGTGCAATATTAAAGAATAACACGAACAAGATTGTCTCAAAAATGGATGCAATTTATTTCATTAAAATTTTGATAGTGATGGTGCTATATGTACCCTTTAAGACGACATAAACGCCATTATGTCTTCTTTTGTTTTTGTTTTTCAAAATTTGTTTCTTAGTATTTACATTAGCAGCCATGTGTTCACATTATTGTATTAATGAGGACATGTGCTTCAAATGATGTCATATAAAGTTTCTCATAATTCAACAGTTTATTGTGAAAATGAGCTGAAAATTCCTTACGCTCAAAGTCCATTTTCTGCAAAAAGGCTCCAATGTTTTTCTTCAAAGTGTTTTGTACGGGTAGTACTATCAACACTGTTTAAGACGCCATAAAATTAATTTTGCAACGTTCTTCTTTTTCCTTTTAAAAACATTACAAATGATGATGTAATTTTTTAAAAACATCTCTTACGTTGTTTTGAGCTCACAATTTCGCATTTTCAGAAACACTCAATTACCATTTTCTCAAAAATGATTCCAATTTTTTCTTGAAACTTTTTGCACAGATAGTACTAATTACACAGTTTAAGATGACGTAAAAATAATTTTGCTTTATCCTTAACTACTATCGGGTATAAAAACAACATATCCAAAGAAAGTTTGTATGGCTTTTTCCCACGTAACCCCCTTTTTCAGTGCTAGTATAATCCAAACGGTTGTGTTTGCCTAACCTTTCGGAAGGCTTTCAGTTTGCGGAGGCAGTTTGTAAGAAGTATGAATTGGCAAATTTAAAGTTATTACTTATTTCACAAATTACAAATTTTAATATTTTGTCATTATTGTATTAACAGTATATTAGATGAGGCTGAAATTTTCTAGCTGAGAAATAGTATCTTATTTTCGTTTTATTTCAATAAAACGCCATGTTCATCTATGCAAGTAAACGTGACTCCAACGACATCGACATCGACTACGGGACGCGGAGGAGGAGGGATATTAATCGAAACAAACAGCACCTTTGTCCAACAAGTCGACTCTTCATTACAAAATCTGATAGGTCACTCATTCTGCACACATGGCTCACATTAGTTTGACACAAAATGTTTATTATCCCTATTATCTGAAGACTAATTGAACCTTGGTCTAAAGAATTGCACAATTTTTAATATGAAACACTATTTTACCCTTTTTCTAAACGTCGAAATGTTGGAGGTGTCAAGACACAACTGTGGTATTTATTATGACATTATTTTTATTAAACAGAAGAGAAATTCCATCTATTCCCGCCCTAGAGGAATTAGATCTATTCCCGTTGGAGCCTTCTTCTATCTATTCTATTGTATCTCCTGTCCACCATACACCGCGTCTCTCTGCCTTACTCCAATCTGGAAATACCCGGTCTTCCGTACTCGCTAAAACACGTTCTCACTAAAAAAAATACTTAAACTTTATTCTTTTTAGGGTTCCCACCCCCAAACGTCTTTCACTTTATTACTGAAAATAGTAAACAAATGTAAACAAAAAATGCATGTTCTTACGTATATTCTTTTTTTGGAATTCTATTTATTTTATCAACACTTTCAATTAATTGCCACATTATAAAACATACTTTTTTCTTATTTTTTCTACTCACGTATTTTTAAAGAAAAGTTTGAAATTCATTTGCTGCGTCAATCGGCGTTTAAAAATAATCAAAGTAATTTTAATTGAATTGAAGCACGTGTTGTACGTGAAATCCTTGATAAATAGTGGCTGACGGAAAGAAGCCATTAACCACTTATATCTCAAAAAAATCCGAGATCACAGTAGATCCCGGCTTCACAAAACTTTTTTATTATCTTAAATAACAACCTTGAAAACCAGAATTCCTCTAAATACCCATTTACCAAATCAATTTTACTTTAAATACGCTGCCGTTTTACTATAAATTATATTCTCGACGAACTTTCATCAATCAAATCATTCCTTCAGCACCCAAAGGTACGTTTCATCTCTCCACTATGTTAAAATATTTATCTGCAAAATGCATCCACCCGTCAGTTTCAGCATCACGTAAAGCGTTCGTATGTTCGTGGAGTTTAAAGAAGTAACACGACAATTGTGGGGAGAATTTGTAGTGCGCATGCACCGGCTTTGAATGACGGGATTTCGATTGACGGCTCCCGTCATTCTCGGTTTTGTCGTCTACGACAAACTTACACTTTACGTAGTTTTCGTCGCCATCACGCACAATGAGCATGGAAGAAATGAAAAATGCAGTATCCATAGTACCAATACAATATGGAAAGTACTTTTGGTTTTATTTTCCTCAACTTTTGTTTTTGTCAGGAATAAACAAACGTAATTGTTTAGCATTTCAGATTATGTATATGAGACTGCATTGATTGTCACAAAAGTTAATTATTTATTCACATGGCCATACATTTCCCATTCCTAATATGAACAATATAAATAGGTATTAGTAAAATTGCAGGGTTATATTCTCAGACTATCTAGAAAGCTAGTTATCTTTGGAGATAAACATGTATTGCATATTCGTTATACAATCAATATTGAATGAAATGAATCAGATTTCATGTATTAAGCGTTTTACTATCTTGAAATGCTTATAAAAGCAGAAAAAGATACTTAGAGCTACACAAATGTTCAATAAAAGCTTTTAGATCCTGTTAGAGGTACATTCAGTTCCAATTAGTTCCTAGTTTTGACATATGCTTTCGATTGTACGACTTACAAAAACTAATTTTTCTGAAGATACGTTATTTGCTATTGACGATAATGTTTACGACTACGAAAATGGATTTTTCGTCTTGGAAAAACTATCTAATAATTATGCTTAATTTACTACAACTAAACATGTATATATTCATACCTTTTTTAAACAATGTTTCCCAAATCTGTCAGAAAATGATCTCTTCTAAGCATTTCGTATATTTTACACTTAATACACCAACAGGCAATGAAAATCGATATCTAGTTGCATTAGAAATAAAGCGGAGAAAAATTCAGAATTATTTCGGATTAGACAACTGTCGTAA